TAGTTGTCTATGTAAATATTTCATTATTCTACACGTAAATATGTGTCTCAAACTAGTATTGGTTATTTCTAGATTCTGTTAGTAAAATGCTTTGTTCCACAGCAAGTAACAGATAGATCTGACAGTATTTGTCAAAACAAGAGAGTGTTATATACACATCTTTTCTTTGGTTTTCAAATCACTCAAAATTTTTTCTTGCCAATGAGCTAAGAGCTGTCTGAAGTATCTGAATGAATAATATTAAGCCTCTGAATTGCTCTTGAAATATTTCATTTGACTTTTTACTATATGACAGATCATCTGGTACTGGTTCTGCTTCCTAAATGAATGTCTGACGCTTTTTAACAGAGAGAGTAGCAAATGCTTATATCCTCAACAGTGAATAACAAATAGTAAATAATGAAAAGTGAATAATATATTCATGAAGATTTTGGGATTTGCAAATACTTTCATGACCACACAGCGGTCATCTGAATATTGATGATTAATTAAGAGCATGGCTTTGCAAAGAGAAGTGAATTGAACCCGAATTGTGTATTCATTAATATAGCTGACTTTCAGTTTTTTCATTATTTGACCAAGGGTTTTTTGCTGATTGATATTTATTTCAGGACTGAAAATGGCCTTCTAGCAAAATAAATGTCCTGACAGACATTTTTTCTGAAAAAGACCATTTTATAGAATTCATATTATTATGGGTAGAATTAATATATGTTCCTGTGTCAATTGTGTTACAATCTTTATAGTGTTAGTCACCTTTCCTTTTTTAATTATAAAATTATCAGAACAATGTGCTTCTCAAATAATTAATTCACATATATCCAATCAAAGGAAGACATTTTATTTTAATGAATTAGAAGATGTCATTATTGTCATTCTCAATGCTGTAGTAGTCACAATAGGGTCAAAACTCACTACTTGTCTCGATAAAGGTGAAAACTACATTTTCTCAGTGGATTTCGAGACATATTGAGATAAGCAAAAGGTAACAAGAAGTTATGTATCCATTTACAAATGTTAATTAATGTTTATTAAATCATTCCCATAGCAATAGATCCCAATCCCCAGCTATAACACAACTCCTACTGGCACACCTGAGGAAAGAGATAGAAGCAAAGATGGCTTATATTTACTGTTATGCTTTCCTGATTCCTGGGAAAACTCATTTGACTTTCAGCATAATTTAGAGCAGCCTTTAGGTGCTCTAAATTGTTTCAGTTGCAGTGACTCCCAATAGGCTGTTTCATAGCTGTGGCCCATTGGAACGCATCAGTATTCCATCCATATCCCTTCTCTAGGATGTCCTTAATATACCCTACACTGGATGGGGAAGGAAATAGCACAAAGTCACCTATGACTACTGTATCTCACTTAGGATTCCACTATTCTAGGGATTTCCCACATAATCAGCTATACCAGGAATATCTTATATCTAAATTGCCATAATGCAGGATATGATTATAAACTATAAGCTACATTTTTCAAATTCTGAAGTCAATGGAGTTATTCTGCATTTACAGTGATGTAACTCAGAGCAATATTCAGTTAAATTAAAGTAAGAAATATGGAGTTCAATGTAACCACATTCTCTTTTAAGAACTGTAAATTATCCAGGATTTTTCTTACAAAAATTTTGTGAATTCATGTGTAAGGAACATGGTATACCAACATACCAATTAAGTACTACTAGACACTATCTGGAAAAGAGATGATTTTATCTGAAGATGTCCCAAAGATGTTTTGTCAAACATTGCAGGGTATTTTCCCCTGGATTTGTTATGCTATAATTTTAGTACAAACTATTGGCTCTCTAAAATGCACTAAATTGCATACATTTCTGGAAAAAAATGTGATAGAAATTAGATCCTTACCCTCTGTTTTCTTTGAATCATTTCCCATATTAGTCTGATCTTTCTTGTCTGACTTATCATCCTTTAATTCACCTAGAAATAAGAAGTGAAACATAAGCAACTTTAATTTCATGGGGTTAGGGACCATATTCAGCTACACACAATATTAAAGTGTTTGCCTGAAAAAGATTTTGTCTTCATGGTAAGTAGTACATACAGATTAACATACTATCATGATAAAGCACCAGACAAGATTTACACAAGTCTAACAAAAAACTCAAACCTCACAAATATCTTGTGTATTTTAAATAATTGTTAGTAGCTCTCTATGTACAGAAAGGAAGTACAAATGTGAATCTTTATGCATAACTTCTTCTGGCAATTACAGAAGTGTCTCACCATAAAAGGTAGCATTGTCCTTGTTCCAAAATCAAGACTTCTGAAATGTGCACTTTTAAATGGCAGTAGTTTTGAGAATGGCCACAGAACACTGTTTATATGTGACATCCGCCCAGGCAAATCCCTGTCTAAAGGCACCTCTTTAAAGAATCCCAAACTATCCATTACATTTTATTTGACTTTCAGTTACTAGCCACCTCTACTTCTACATCTGTTTTTTTTTTTCTGGATGATGCATAACAGTGAGTGGCGAGGTCCCCTAGGTAGCTTTAATTCTAGACTCTCTCTAACACCCCAAGAAAGCAAGGGCTTAAGTGACATAGAATGAAAACAGCATTTAGGTCCTTGAAGTACATTCATACTTTATGAATATGCACTCGGACCATCCTCAATTTTCATTGACAATTATCAGGTACAAGTACTTTAATCACAAAATGGAGAATGTGGAAAAACTACCCAGACCAACTCTTCCTTTTCATCTTGGAACCAGATTGTCTGTTGTCAAACTATATTTAAAAAGAGACAGACCTTACCAGGACTTGAGTAGCTCCACTGCCCAAACAGCAATGACCAGAGATGTCTGCCTATCTGGCCAGTGAGGCATGAACAAATGAGTGAAACAGGCCTTACTTCCCCTCCACAAAAGAATAACAGTGGATCAGCATCCTATCAATTCCCAGGCCACCCAAAGAGATCCAAAAGGTGTAACCTCAGTTGATTATACCTGAAGTGGCAAAATACTGTTTCCACTTTCTGACTTGAGCAGCATCCAAACTTAGGGCCCTGGAGATGTTCCAGCCAGGAATGTAAATTGGTGATAGTTAGTTATTTCTTTGGTATAATTTTGTTTAAATACAAGGAATGTAAAAAATCCTATCTCTTTGAATGCAGAAAGAATCAAATAACAGGAAACACCTTCTTTTGCTAGCAGCACTAGGAACACTCTTTTTCAGCCTTCACTTTGACCAAAAACTTCTTCCTCCCAGGTTTTTTCTGGGGCTCAGTATTTGCCTAAAGAAGCAGCAGCAAACAACTGGATCAAGCAGACACTGGCTGCTAGTTATATGGTCTGTGGCCTGGAACCTGGTGTACTGGGAGGCCCCTGGTTCCCCAACCAGCCACTAGACTAGTGGTATAAGGCCAAAAGACGGGACAAGGATGCCAAAGAGCCCTGAGAACCACGTGGCCCAGAGTTGAAACTGAAGAGCTGAGGCACAGGTCTTGGACATTGATTTGCTGGATTTCTTGTTAACTTAGAAGGACTAGTCTTAAATGGTGACATGACCAAGAGGTCAACCTACAGGAAGAAGTGGACGACTGGAGGACCAAACAGCCTTTGGCAGGGGGTATCAGAAGGAAACAGAACTGCTGTGACATACCTGGACATGAGGAGACACCCCAGTTGTCAGGCCAGCCTTAATATGACACAATTAACTACTACATTAGATACCAAAAATATTTTAACAGCATCTGCTGAACACTGTACTAATAAATAGGAAGGCATTACTTGTTTGAGCAATGTAGAAGTAGAATCTGAAAAAATCATCTTTCTCCAGTACTTCCGAAAATCATGTTCCCCATCTCCATTGCTTTCAGAAACTCCCAATAATATGAGGACAATTCTTGTAAGATGCAATTTAAGGGGCCTGGGACTCTGGCTGCTGCTGTTGCCATGGAAGTGACATCCCAGACCCCCAGACCTTTTTAAATTGCAGGGCCCTGGGCAACTGTCCCCTTTGCCTCTCTATCCCTTCCCCCATTGGCAGCCCTGAATGCTGAACCTTCTTGGCTGTCCCCCTGAAATCTGTTCATGGCTCCCCAATGTACCCTGGATCCTTAGTTGTGTACCACTTAGCTAGAGCATACAGGGCAGTGGCCAGATAATCGATGATGAAGGACCTTATAGAGTCCTGCTCCACGGAATTGCAAGAAAACTTCCCACCTGTGAAGGGAGCAATCTAGGGCACAGGAGGCTACTTCAGCTGCTAAACTGGAGTAGTCTGCATGGAACTGCTCCACTCTCCAATATCTCAATGAGATATTGGAATCAGATTCACCCCTTAAATGAACCAATGAAAGGACTTACCATTTTGGACACGCTGTTTCTGCTCTCCTGTCGCTTGGTGAGACTCGGTTCCCTTGTCTGCTCTAGACAGTTTTTTCCCTTGAGAGGCTTCAAGTTTGTTCGCACCACTTTGCCGAGTCCCATTTACATGACTCTTGCTGGAATCTGTGCTCTTACTTTCCCCAGGATTTGGTTCTTTGTTGTTTTCTGACTTGGCTGTTGTGATATCCTCAGCTGCCTTTTTCTCTTCTTTTTCTTCTGTTCTCTTTTCATCTGTTCCCTGATGCGCATTTTCCTCGGCTTCTTTCTTAGCTTTTTCTTCTGCATCCTCAGCAAAGAAAGAATCAACACGAAGTGAAAAAAAAAAAATCAAGACCATCAGCAGATTTGCCAGAGTGATACTATGCACACTTTTAATCCAATGTCATCCATGTGCTCTCAAATGTTAACTTAGATAAATGTGGAAAAAACATAAAACAACAAAGTATTTAGGGTGGGATCTTCAAAGCGCTCAGCATTGGCCTGCAAGTATTCCCATGGAAGTCAATATTTGTTGTCACTTTTGAAAACCCACCACTACTGTAATCGCAATACTCAATTTTTTTACACCTATGTATTTTAAAAAGCAAATTAAGGGAATAAAGTTCAACCTCCATGTAAAGTGAAGGGAAGGGCCTAGGTTCACTCATGGCATAAGCATGTGAAAATCAATCAAATTCAATTTGTCTCATGCTATATCCAAAACCAGCCTCATTGGGGAAAATGAGGCCCTTTGAACAGTGTAGCATGCCTCTTTGATTTCAGTTTCTCTCTCTGATGGCTTCCTATTTCCTCTCACTCTTACCCAAGTTTTCCTTCCTTTCCTTATGGTCTCATGCTCTGTCTACTGATATTTGACATGAAATGTCCTTCAATCCTGAATAATCCTAAAGTGCTTCACAAAAATATCATGATACACAAGTCTTCATGTGTACCAGAGACCTGCAGCTGCCTCAAAGGTGGAATTTGCATAGAAACACTACAACTCAGAAAGCAAATAGTTGATCAAAGTGAAAGGCAGGTACATTTAGCCACTTTATCCCTTCTCCCCTAAATCTGCCACTAGAGATGATCACATCAGAAACATGACTGTAATTCAGCAAGCCCTTCCCATCTCTGCTTCCCACTAAGTCAGCCATCTCCCCTACTGGTCTTTTCTTCCTCAGGGAGGAGAGGATGCCTGTGAGAAAAATAGGGTACCTCTATTATTGGGCCACTTGTTTTGGCCACAAGGACTTGTTTATGAGTTTTAAAATAATGGAAGTACGGGAAGCCCTGAGTAATAATAGCAATTCAAATTGTATGTGTAAAAAAGGTTATTTAAGAGCTATAACTTCTCCTTTTAAAAGTAGCCTGTTTTCATGTGCAGCAATCTGAACTTTGGGTTCTGCTGAGACAGCAAATACTTAGAACTAGTTGGGCTGCTGAACAACACCTACAACAGGGGTGAGCAATAATTTTTGATGGGGGGCCACTCTAAGATTTTGGTCAGTGGCCAAGGGCCGCAGTTTCCTACGGAGGCGGTGTCAGGGTCTGGTATAAAAGTTGGGTGAAGAAGGGAAATAGGGATGGGGATAGGGGTGCAGGAGAGGCTGTAGGGTCTGAGAGAGTTTGGGTGGAAGGGGTTTGCAGTGCACAAAGCTTCTCCCTACCCTCCTTTCCCCCCACCCACAACACAGAGAGGCAGATGAAGCTGCTCTGAGCCCTTGGGCTGCTCCTGCCTGTGGGTCCAGTGGGGTGGGCCATGGGCTGGACTGAAAGGCTTGGCGGGCTGCATTCAGCCCCCAGGCTGTACCATACCCAGCCTTGGCCTACAAAGTGCTTGAACACAAAATTCAAATGCAACTGGAATCAGAGGGAGTTGAAAATTCTCTGCATCTCTGCAGATGGCACTCTGTAGCCTGCAGGATCAGGCCCTAAGCAAAGGAATAAGAATTGTGAAGTGTTTATTAAACATCTTCTCATATGTAACCAAAATTCTTTTGACAACTGAATCAGAGCAATTTTCTCCAGAAAATCTACCAAAAAGAGGAACAAAACAGAAGGGGGAAAATGTCATTTTATAAGAAGCATCAATCTGTATTTCCTTGCCAGCAGCTGACAAAAGTTAATTAATTTTTAAATTAATAAATTATGGATCACATGAAAATATAATTAAATTAGATATGAGCCTCCCACACTTTATTAATCATTTCTGCAATAATCTAGTTTCCATAGATGGCTCAGTATGTACATTGATATTATGCCTTAGGATCAATGATACAATGAAGGCTTTCCAGATATCGTGACTCTCTGAAAAATGTGCTAACATTTTGCATTCCTAATCACGGGCGATAGATGAATCTCAAAAACAAAACAAAACAAACAAAAAACAACAACTCAAGGAAACATTCATCCATATAGAGATTTTATCATGATACTGCTAGAAATTTGCCTATTATTAGAATTAGTGTTACAACATGTTTGCTCTGTAAAGTGCTTTTAATACCTTGGGGTAGATGTTTATTCTGGTTCTTAATTTATAACAATTTAATAACGATCTTTTAAGTAGGAGGAGCTGAGCAACAAACCCACTTATTTTGCCTACACAATCCAAGACATTTTCCAAAAAAGAGCATTCTCATGATAAAAACACCACACTAGATTTCTATTGATAATACCCTCACAAAAGATACTAAGCTATTCTACAGAAACAGGATAAAGCATTGCCTCTAATAATAATTGTGGAGATTTCATCTTTGCTTTTGGTCCTAAATTGCTGTGTAATGTTGCGGTGCACTAATAAATAGCTGTTATGTGCTACACCCCAATTGTGACTGCATTCCTATTACAGGTTGGACCTCTCTGGTCCGGCACCCTTGGAGCCTGAGTGGTCCGGAACCAGAGAGTTTACCAGACTAGGAGAGGTCAAATCTCCCCTGCTAGCCATCAGCCCCACTGTGGGCTCTGCCCCTGGCTACCTCCCATCCTCACTCTTCTCCCAAACCTAAGAACAGCACCCAGCGGTCCTGGTGCACCTTCCCAGTACTAGCCCCTCTGCAGCTGGCCTGACCGGGCTCCCCTGCAGCTGATTGGGCCTGGGGCTTCCTTGCCACTGCCTTCCTCTTCACAGCTGGTCCAGCCTGGGGCTTTTCAGCCACTGCCACCCCTTCAACAGCCCAGGGCTTCCCAGCTGCCCCAGCCCCTCTGCAGCTGGCTTGGCCCAGGGCTTCCCAGCCGTTAACAGCTGCCTGGCACTGACCTCACTGCAGCTGACCTGCCAGTCCTCCTTCTGCTGGGCTCCCAGTGGGCATCATTCCCAGCTGCTGGGACACTCTGGCCAGCAACATCTGTGGTCCTTATCACACCACAGATGTTGCTGGACCAGAGAGTCCCAGATTTTGGCGGTGCAACTTGTAATTTATTTATTTATTTATTATTATTATGTATTTTCAGTGCAATTATGTCTTCCTAACAGAGAGTGAAGTTCCATTGTGCTGGGCACTCTATAAATATACTGAGCAATGGTCTCCATCCAAAGAGCTTATAAGATAAATAAATAAAACACAAAAGTGGTAGGAAACAGAGGCACACAGAGGTGAGGTGAAATGATACGTCCAGGGTCACAAACCAGGTCTGTGGTAGCACCAGGAATACAACCCGGGTCTACTAAATCCCAATCCTATACCCCATTGCTCAGCCAATCCACTGACAAGTCCTGAGTTTCTAAAGGTCTATAGAACAAAAAGTTTTGTATAAATGAGGTTGTTACTGAACATATCCAGAAATGTATGAAGATTTAAAAACAGACAAGAAAAGGCAAACCAGAACCTAACTAATGGTGCATATATCCATTTGAATCAGGTGACTTCTTATGCCCGTTTCATTAAAAATCCTTCTTCAAAGCACTCGCTACAAATGGGTAGAAAACAAAGTTAAATACTCAGGACCCATTAGAGTCTGACTTATGAATTTGTTTGTAGGCAATATGTAAAATAGGTATTATACGTTCCCTCGTGGTTTCCCTTGCATATAGGATTTAGATCAGGGGTTGGCAAGATCTGGACCACAGTCCAGATCCAGCCCACTAAGCCTTTGGATCCAGCCCACAAATGTGCTGGGTAAGGGGGTAGAATACAAAGCCCCCTCTTTCCCCGTGCAGAGAAGCACATGGAGTAGCCAGCTGCTTTAAGTGACCTGGGGCTGCGACAGACAGGGAGCCTGCCTGACAGTCCTGCTGGGCTGCTGAGTAGGAGCTGCTAGGTAAGCACCTCCGGACCAGGTCATAACTCCCTCCCAGACCCTGCACCCCATTCTATACCCCTCCCCCAGTTCAGGATCTTCTCCTGCACTCAGACTCCTTCCTGGACCCTACACCCCAAACCTCTGCCCCAGGTCTTGACCCCCTCCTTTACCCAAACTTCATCTCAGACCTCACACCCTCTCCTAAATCCCAATCCCCCATCCTAAGATCCTGTCTTCACCCCAACCTCCACTCCAGACCTCCATACTCTCCACAGAAAAGTGCGACCATTGACCACTTACCATAATCTTGGAGTGGTCAATCAAACAGCATATGCTATATGAAAGCCTTGTGAATAACTGTTACATATTAAAGCGGAATCGATTGGCCACATACCTTCAAGATTCATATACCAAAAACCATCTGGCCATGTTAATGACTATAGTCATTTGGTAAACGTTCATTTGTTTTCATCAGATCTTTTGATCCAAAAGAACAGATGAAACAAGTAAACACTATGTTAAAAAAATAAGAGCTAGCTGAAATCAATTGGCAAATAAACTGACTTTATTTTTTGTTGGCAGAAGAAGCATAAAAGGGGTTGATACTTTGTAAGGTATGTTCTAACTTCAAGGAAAATTGCATTTGGTTAATAAACTTGTCCTCTTTTGCCTTCCTAAGAGGGTTTGTAATCAAGGATGAGCAATCTGTTTGAGTTAATATAAAAATTGAGCCAAGTCTTCCACTATGCCTCAAGACAAATCCAAATCAGTTTGGTTAAAGAACTTTCACCCATCTCCTTTCCTCACTTCTAAGAGATTATTATTAATAATGGGTATAAATATATCTTATAAAGATCACAGTCCAGATTGAGGGCTCATTGTACTTGTATAATTCCCAGCACAAAGAAGAAATAGTCACACTCCCTGCCACAGAGAAAAGTATCTCACCCTACTGCAAGGTAAAGTTTGATCTGGGTGTTTGCTGGTTACTGGGTATATGCTGGGTGCATGATTAGTTCTGAGATCTAGTGAATGGGAATCATTCAGGCATTAAGTCCTGTGGCCCACGTATCATAAGTACTGTACAATGCTACTAGTATACAAGAGAAAAACGGGTATTAAAATAAAAATAAGTCAGAAAATATAAAATATATTGTCTCAGTTAATTAAGACTTTGAGCAACAGGAATCCAGCTCTGAGGAGATTTCACAAGCTGTCAAAATGTCAGACCCTTCTTTTCATGTGGGGCCTAATCCAAAGTCCATTGTCTTCCCTTTCCATTTTCTTTCTTGTCTATGCTCTTGTCCTCCCCCCACTCATACACTCTTCCCAACATCCATTAGCAGTATATAAAAAGGTGTAAAGCCTTCAGTTGAGTTACATGGTCTTCTTGGCACAAAGTGTGGTGAATGTTACTAGCCCCTAGAGGCAGATGGTTTGAAAAGTCAGAGCTCACTTCAGAGCTAAGGGGATGGGGAAAAGCCTGAGGGGGAGGAGGTAAAAGAGCTTTCAGTCTTTCATTACGAAGCTTGTCTATTACCTTTGGTTGCTTTTGCTTTCCATTTCTCCCGGTTCTGCTGTACCACCTCGGTCCAGGTGGTTTTAAAACATTTGAAGTCCACAGTGAGTATGGAACAGTTAAGTGAGGCACTTCCTTCTGACCCAGTGCTCTTGACACTTGATCTTTTAACTTCTGAGGGGCTAATGCTATTCAAACTGGGAGAGACAAGGTCACACAATGTGATAGGAATCAGCACTCCACACACTTACATACAGCTAAGGAGTGAAACAATGCCTAGCCATAAAGTACTATACAGTCAGCAAAAGCCAATATCCAAATCTTAAATTTCCTCCCTCTGTTCCCGTCCTTGTTTTGGAAGAACCATATCATGAACTCATTGAGGAGGTCTACTTTAGAACTGATGACACAACCATTGCAAGGAACAGAGAAATAGCTATGTTACAGTGAGTCTAATTTCAATACAATTTCCATTCGTGCAATTGTGTGAATACACAGTGACGTTGTTCCCAACTCACACCAGTGTGAGATGAGAAATTGGCTCTGACTGTTCAGCTCACGATCTCTGGACAGAGTACTAGCTCTTAGTTCTAAGGCACTGAACTAGAACCTCATGTAACTTTTAGAACTCTCTGCAGCTTCAGTGAATTTTACATGCGTTTAAATCAAGTTCAGATGCAGACAAATTTCGAAGGAACCCAAAGAGCAACAAAATAATTAAGGATTAATGAGCAGTAAAGCACCTTAACAATTGATGACAGCAGTGACAAAAGACTGTGGGCAGATGGAAGTTGACTGATTGCTAGAGGGCTTTATAGGTCGTCTGAAAGTAGAGAGAGAGTGTCGAGCTGCAAAATTTAAGCTTCAGTTGTAACCCCCTTCTCCAAAGTTCAAGGGCATTTAGGATTCAGGTTCTGGTGGTTTAGGTTACAGACCATGGGATTCGGCTCCAGAGTCTGAACTGCCTCAGATTTCAGAGGCATTCAGGTATGGAATTTTGGTTTAAGCCAATGTCTATCTCTAAGTATCTCCAAGTAGCTGTCTTGTCACAAACCAGTTCTACAAGCCAGATCCACAGGGAAGCATTGGAATTAGCGTTCATCTGCAAATTCAATTCACATCCTAATGCACTCGGTCGTGATGAAAGTTGCTTGGGACACTACCAATTTAACAACCATTGAAGGTACAAACAGATCTCTGTGTTGTATCCTTCCTGACATGGGAGTCTATCTATTGACTTTGATTTTTATCTGCTTCAGTTTAACTATCAAATCTTCAGATACTTACTGATGCTCTGTTCACACACCCCTCCTATAGTCTTCCCTCTCCCCCTCCCCTTTCCCTCTCCTATCTATTTTGGGTGTACACATCCCAAACTCATAACTCCTGAAGAAGTGGGCTGTGCCCACGAGAGCTCATGATACCATCTACATGTTTTGTTAGTCTATAAAGTACTACCAGACTATTTGTTGTGGGTTTTTTTCTGTAACAGACTAACTCGGCTACCCACTAAAGCTTCTAAGTATCTGCTCAGTATAAACACCAAGATGGAAAGAAACTATTTATAGTGTGGTATAAGGAGTGATAAATAGAAGAAAAGGAAGAAAACGAAACCTGGCTTGATAACCAGGAGATACTTCTTAATGGTAAAATCTATTATGCTGACTAATCAAATAATGGTGACTAGCATACAGGCTAGCAGATTAGTCCCCATTCAAGCCTTTTGAATCCTCACCCTGTGTTAGTGCTGGAATTATCTCAGGGCCAGCACAGGAGAATCCCTAATAATTCAAGGTGGCACCTTGATAGCTCATATGACAGATGATCAGGTTAAATGAAACTCTTCACATCCAAATTCCAATGAATTCTGACCTTGGATAGATGCATAAATCAAGTAACAATTAACTAAGTCTGATTGTACTTCATGGTCTATCCATTTCTACTACACTCCCCAACCATATTTTTCTTTTGGTAGAAATCAGACAGACTCAATGGAAGGTCTTTGCTAATACCCAATGTGTCTAAACAAGAGAAATAAGTCCTAAAAGCAGAGACAGCATTCATGCACCAAAGCAAACATAGGTATTCACCTGGAACGTCTAAAACCAGACATGCCAGAGCGGGAAGCTTCATCAATGAGTGGTGTTACAATCTTCTCTGTCATGTCTGTCAGCACAGTAAAAGTGGGCTCCACAATGAAATCAATAAAACCTGAATCAAAACACAATGGGGACATAAACAGAAGAGGTAAATATTTATTTTTTGCCATTGCCTGTCAATTATTTATTGTAACACACAGTGGATGAAAAGAATTACATGTTGAAAGAGGAATTGTAGAAAGGATAAGTAAGAATGATACTATGTATTAATCCTGATCCATGAGCTGATATTTTGCATGTAATCGTAGCTCCTTAAATGTTGAAAAGAGAGTTTGAAAATTCAGAATATAAACAGATGCAATAGAACTTGTTTTCAGTGATTTTTTTTTAATCAAAGCCAAATCCTTGGGACAATTGGATGAGACCAAATTTGGAGGATGAAATTTCTGGAAACAGAAACATAAAAGAACAGCAATAACAACAGGCTGCTCTGGATATCTATTCAAAGTGTTGTGGAGTTACACTCTATCAAATATCAGTGAGGTTTTGTGAATATTCTTATTTGAAAGTTTGCCCAGTATGTATTCATTGAGGGTCAAATGTATTCAGATTCTATTACATTAATTTTTTTTAATTAATATTTTATTTTTAATTCAGGAGGAGATGGAAAAATACAGACTTAATTCTTTCCCTCTCCTGGCTTGTGCACAATGAGGTGGGGCTGGGAAGAAAGAGCATAGGAAGTCTTCTGGCAAGTCGGCTTTTTGTGCCAGCATTCCAAGTATTTAAGCTAATGGGCCAGCTAATGTGCTCACTTAGGGTGCATCTACACTGCACCACAGATTGAAATAAAAGACGCAATTTGAGCTACACCAATTGCGTATCTTATTTCAATTTTATTTCAAAATAGCTTATTTCAAAATTTGGTGCTGTCTGCACAGCATTTATTTTGAAATAAATCGCTATTCTGAAAGGTCCCTTACTCCTCGTAGAATAAGGTTTACAGGGACGTCAGAATAGTGAACCCGTTATATTTCAAAATAATGGGTGCACTCAAAAGATGTGGAATAGCTATTTTGGGATACCTCCGGTATCCCAAAATAGTACTGCAGTAAAGACATAGCCTCATATACCAGCCTCCAACCTCTTGTAGCTCTGCCCTTTACTGATAACACACTATAATCATATGGTAAGTAAGGTTCTTTACTGCTTGTGGTCACAGATTAGATACACTAATTTTTAAAGACACATATTCTTCAATTTTATTTTTCTGCATGGTGTCACTCTTGGGCAGAGTTAAAGTTATTTAGGAGCCCTAGTTGTGTTTCCATATTGTAATATGTTTGGATTTATTTTTAAAATTTAACCTGAATTCTAGATTTCTTAGGTTTACAGTGCTTATCCTAGGGATACTTTACAAGATCCTATAATGTATTTTACTCTAAATTACTGATATGTAATTGCCACCTTAATATAGCTATTGACTGACAATTATCTTATCCCTCATCTTTGCACTCTGAGATGTGGGTCCCAAGACCAACTTCCTATAGCAGTGGTTTTCAATTTACAGTCTGTGCACACACCTGGAGTCTGCAGACTATGAATAAGGGATCCACAAAAGGTTCTCATTACTATAGAACAATGGTTATCAACCTGTGTCCACAGACTATGTCTAAGATTTCCCAGTTTGAAATTTTTAGGGTATTGCAAATGAAAGAAAAGTTGGAAACCATTAGCTCAGAATCAGAGAGGAAGCCGTGTTAGTCTGAATCTGCAAAAGCGACGAGGAGTCCTGTGGCACCTTATAGACTAACTGAAGTGTAGGAGCATAAGCTTTCGTGGGCAAAGACCCACTTCATCAGATGTGCTTAGAGTTTATTTTAATTCCATGTTAAAAAGGACATCAAGGTCATGCTAGTTAGGGAATAATTTCTTAAGAAACTGCCATTCAGCAGCAACATCAATTGATCATCAGCTATTGCTTATAGCGTCTGAAGCCACAATTTTCTTTCCAGGCAGCCAAAGGACAAAAAAAAAATAAAAGGACATTGCTACATAAATCAGCTGTTAGAGACTGAGATGACAAGAAAGTCTGATTTCCTGTCAAACAAGGTTTCCTTCTGCCTTGGCTAGGAAGAAATAGGCTTTAAATACTTTAACTCTCCTGTTGAGAAATAAAAATGTTGGTGTGGTAATTCTTTGCAATTTGCTGGGTACTCCCGCCCCTCTCCCACTTTGACTAAAGGTCTGACTTTAAGATGTGAATTGCTTCTGATTGGACTTGTTCCTGACATTTTCTTTACAAAATAAAGTGGCAGCTGAAAGAATGTGTCCCTTTTGTTCTCTCCCTTAAAGAATTTTTCTTGTTAACTTAATTTCTGTAGGAATGATACATGTTAAGAATGCTCTTTGAATTTCCAGTAATCAAGCATGCTCACCTGCTTGGTCTGTACATCCACAATGACTAGAGTTAGCTGAACAAAACATTTTTTTCATCAGACTCTGCCAATTTGTTGAAATCAAAACATTTGACAGCGATGGTTTGATTTTAACAAACTTCTGATGGAATCCTACTTGGTTTCTATCTAGGGTTGCCCGGTGTCCGATACTGACCCAGACAGTCCAGTATTTTCACCTCCTATCCAATAAAAAAAATCAGAAAATACCGGACACCTAAGATGTCCGGTATTTTCTGATTTTTTCCCGGCCAGGAGGCAAAAATACCGGGTTCCTCAGGGGAGCTGTCTGGCCCGGAGCAGGAAGACAAGATGGCGGATGACAACTGGCAGCGTGTTAGGGCCAAAAAGCCTCAAAGGCATTTCTTTAAGGGGCCATTTTGTTTATTTATTTATTTATTTATTTATTTATTGCTTAATAACTCTCGGGGTCAATTTTTTATTTGCTCAACAACTTTGGTCTCCCCCTTTTTTTTTCCTCAACAGAATTTTTTCCCTGATTTTTTTCTTTTGGGGAGAGGGGAGTGTTTGGTATTTTTGGTTAAACCATTACGCAACCATATTTCTACCCATTTGGGTCCTCAGCCAACTATTCCACCAGAGTCAGGGACCTTGGGACTTCTGGGGTCTGTGGTTCTGGGACCATCCAGCAGGTAGATTGCCTGTAAATTGGGCCTTCATTCCCTTTTGCAGAGAATTTCAACATTTTTGGATTTCATTCCAAATTGGAACATACCCAGATTTTGAAAGATTGATATCCTTTGCAAGAAGGAATTGCCTTTCTCTGCCCAGCTCTAACACGTGTCATACAGCAGCAAAATATAATACAGCCTTAAATGTGACCAGCAAGGAACCTCTAGAGAGGTTATTTACTTCAGTATCCTCTGGTCTGTAAACAAGCTGTTGAGATAGCTCAGAAACTCCAGGTCACCAATAGAAAGTGGGATGAGAACACAAACTTCTCTGGCTTGTCTTTTGTATTTTTTGAAAACAGAGCTGCATGCTGTAGGATAATAGCACAATTTGGAATTCATGAGGTACTTACTTCTACAAAGAAACTCAGTAATGACCATTCAGTGGAGCTATTTGTTGAAAGCTATAAAATCAGATAAGCAAATGAATAGACCCTGAATATTTCTCTGAGTATCTGCCCCTGGCCTTGGAGAGCAATCTTACCTGGACATTCATTGGTTACAAAAGTAAGAACTTTTAATTTACTGAAGTAAGCAGTAAAGATGCCAAGCTACTGGCCCATGTGTTGAACAGACTGAGATGAAAACTTATAATGTTAGAGGGCAAGATTTCTAGAGACTATGCCTGTTAATGCCAATTGGAAGCAGTTAACTGCACAGATTAAATATAATGTAAATAGCACAGAACTAAATAAATCTGCTTATTGATTGAATGTCTGTTTCTTAAGTTGTAAATGATTGCCTAATAGCTTAAGTCACCATTAATTTTGCAATGATTTGCATTCTGAAAACAGTCATAAGGATTTTTTTTATTTAGAGAAAAATTCTGGCTGATCTGTACATGGAATATAGCTCATGTATAGAGCAGGGAAGAATTCCATGATCCGTAACGACTGCAGAAGTAAAGCAGGTCAGAGTGGGGGAGTATTGTGTCCAGTTCTGGGCCCCCCTCCACAACAGAAAGGATGTGGATGCATTGGAGAGGGTCCAGTGGAGAGCGACCAAAATGATTAGGGGGCTGGAGCACGTGACCTATGAGGAGAGGCTGAGGGATTTGGGTTTGTTTAGTCTGCAGAAGAGAAGAGTGAGGGGGGATTTGATAGCAGCCTTCAACTTCCTGAAAGGAGGTTCCAAAGAGGATGGAGAGAGGCTGTTCTCAGTGGTGACAGATGGCAGAACAAGGAGCAATGGGCTCAAGTTACAGTGGGGGAGGTCTAGGTTGGATATTAGGAAAACTATTTCACTAGGAGGGTGGTGAAGCACTGGAATGGGTTACCTAGGGAAGTAGTGGAGTTTCCCTCCTTAGAGGTGTTTAAGTCCTGGCTTGACAAAGTCCTGGCTGGGATGATTTAGTTGGGGTTGGTCCTGCTTTGGGCAGTGGGCTGGACTCGATGACCTCCTGAGGTCTATTCTAGCTCTATGATTCTATGATTCTATTCTATGTGTGTATTTCTACACTTGCACCCTATTTCGAAATAGGGATGCAAATGCAGCAATTCGAAATTGCAAATGAAGCCAGGATTTAAATATCCCATGCTTCATTTGCATAATCGCATTATGGTGCTATTTCGAGTTAGTGCTATTTCGAATTAACAGATGCAGTTATTTCGAGAGAAAACCCTTCTCTCGAAATAATCCTTATTCCTCGTACAATGAGGTTTAAAAGTTATTTTGAAAGAAGAGTTTTCTCTCAAAATAACCGCGTCTACACAGCATCTGTTAAGTCAAAATAGCGCTAACTCGAAATAGCGCCATAACGTGATTATGCAAATGAAGGCGGGATATTTAAATCCCGGCTTTATCTGCAATTTTGAATTGCTACATTTGCATCCCTATTTCAAAATAGGGTACAAGTGTAGACATACCCTGATTCTAAGTTTCCCAAGAAAGGGCACTTTGAGATTTCTGGCTCTGCTGAAACGGGAGTAAGGGATGGGAGCAAGAAGCCTTATGTGCTTAGGTGTGGTGCTTGTTGAATGGAGAAGTCGGGACATTGCTGGTTTAGATGTTTAATGCCAGTGTCTTCTGCAGTGCTCAGGAGCCAAGGAATAGTCACCACACAAACACGCATAGCATTTGGTTTGGCAATAGCATGTATGTTAACTGAGTTCCCCTTTAATACAATTCTTGTAAATGTGATAGCGGTTCATCTTAAAATCATCCATTTAGGGGCAACACTGGAATTTCTTTTGCCCTCCCTAAACTAATTCAAAGTGATGAGAGCCCAGAGGGACCTTACTCCCGTTGGGGAGAGAATAGTTTGTTTCTTTTATACTGCTGCTGTGAGTCCTAAGTGGAGCACATAGAAAGGACATACCTATCTGAGACTGAGGAACCATCGTAGACTTGCGGTCACATAGTGGGGAGAAAGGAAGCCCTAGTTCTGCTTCCTTGTCACCCTGCAGAAACAAAATTGAGAGCAGATTAGAATACAGCAAGCACCACTTAACATCTGTAACAGCTTTGGGAACCAGGAAGTCCCCTCTTTTTTTTGTCATTGAAGCTCATGTTATACCTTTAATTGCTAGACTTTTTAAAGGAGAACATTGTTTATTCTGGACATCCAAATACTTCTTTAAGAGCTTCTTGTGGACATGTACCACCTCACTGTCTAACTAAATCAACCTCTTCTTGGAGCAGCAGCACCCACTCTACTCCGCACTCTCTCTCTCTCACCCTATTTTGAATGGGGAAGCTCCCATTTCTTGTATACAATTTACATCACTGTGAAATAAAAACAAATAGACTGAACAGAAACAACAGAAACCTATTTCTAAAGCATCTGTTCCAGGGACCTTACATCTTTAGTGTTTTTAAAAGATAAAAGCACTTTGAAGGCCATCTAGAGACTGAAGTTAGCAGAGATTGAATCCTAACATTTGGTGGTGTATTCCATATTACAGGCACAGCATCCTTTGCCTATTGGGTGTTTCTATGGAACACCTTGAAAATCCATGGGATTCTATGCAGTACTTCTCATGTGAAACCAACAGCAAATGGAACTCTATTAGGCTACGTCTACATTGGCCCCTTTTCCGGAAGGGGCATGGTAATTTTTGAAATCGCAATAGGGAAATGCGCGGGGGATTTAAATATCCCCCGCGGCATTTAAATAAAAATGTCCGCCGCTTTTTTCCGGCTTTTAGAAAAGCCGGAAAAGAGCGTCTA